GGGCTGTTCGGACAATCTCAGACGCAAACGCCAGCAGCAGGTGGTGGGTTATTCGGCCAGTCGCAAGCGGCCCCGAGTGGTGGGTTGTTCGGGCAGCCTCAGCAAGCCGCGGCACCGACTGGTGGATTATTTGGACAGCCGCAGACGCAACAGCCGGCCGCCGGGGGTCTTTTCGGACAATCGCAGAACCAACAGGGTGGCGGTCTGTTCGGACAGAGCAACAATCAGCAGGCGGGCGGCGGACTCTTTGGTGCATCGCAGCAACCAGCCGCACCCGGCGGTGGTTTGTTCGGTTCCAACCCGCTTTTTGGCGCGCCCAAACCCGCCGCTGGGCCGAGTATATTTGGTGCAAGTGCCACCAACAACCAGCAGCAGCAGCCGGGTTTATTCGGCGCCAGCAATAATGCGAATCCGTTATTCAATACTGGCGCCAACTCCATGTTCGGTGCGAAGCCGCAGCAGCAGCAGGCACTGCAGGGCTCGCAGGGTCCGCCGCCGTTCACAAAGTCGACAAAGTTCAATGACCTGCCCGACGCCGTGAAGCGGACGCTCGAGGAGATCGAGTAGGCGCTTTCCCTTTTACTCTATTTACATCTAATTGACTTGTACAAGCTCGCACATTCAAGGCCGAATCCAAATCAGCAAGGAGCTGCACCAACGCAAGCTCGGTGATGAGGCGACCAAGGGCCAGGAGACCATCCGCGCCGTGCACAAGGTTCGTTGTCTGCGTTCGTCTCAGCTTTCGCACTCATACTTATTCACGCACACAGGACCTGATCAACACGACGACCGCCATTCGCGCAGACCTACACTTTACGCGCGATCTCAAAGCCAAGACGGAGCAGACTGTGCAGGACACGATCGTCGCCACGCGCCTCGTGGACGGGTTCCGCAACCCGCATGCGAACGCAGCGTATCTGAAGGACCATGCGGGGTTCCCGCTCGAGTGGGTGTTGTTTTCGATTTTCGTTCCGTGATTGGCGCTAAGCGGTGCGTAAACTCAAGGTTCTTTACGCGCGTGACGACGCAGATGCGCGAGCGGCTGGCGTGGTACAAGTCGACAATTGAGGTCCGCGGTTTTGTCTTTTGATTTAGCTTCCTCTGACCGCCTCGACGTAGCAAATCGAGCGCAAGCTGTCGTCGTCTACCGGGCAGGCGCAGTACACGCCGCAGGGTGCCTCCCCCTTCCTTCTTTGTTTCTTCATTCCTTTCCCTGACACTGCGCAGGCATCCACGCGACGCTGCAAGCACAGCACGCGACCTTCCTGGCGCTCGCGTCCAAGACCGCTGCCGTCGACGCACAGCTGGCGCGGATAAAGCAGGTTTATACGCAGCTGTGGCGCGCGAAGACGGGGAGCCACCGGGATCCGTTCGAGGGCGGGGGCGAGGGGGAGGGCGGGGATCTGGGGTTTGGGGGGTTGAATGTGTAGTGTATGTAGTACCTGCTCTTTGCTTTGTAGACCATGATTTTGGAACGACTTGCGAAGGCAGTCAGTGCTGAAAGCGGAATGCCGGATTTTGATCATCAAAGCAGGCGGTCGATCTTGATGCGCCCGCTTTCAACTGTTACTTGCGTCTTGTGTCTTGTGTCTTGGGCGCGGTGCCCTCCGCGCGCCTGAGTGAATGGCCACTATAGACCTTGCTCAGGCTTCCCTCCCAGAAGTATTCCAGCACCTCAAATGCGACGAGAATGGTCTCACGACCGAGGAAGCTGCCCGGCGTCTGGCGCAGCTCAAACTCAGTCAACCACTGGCAGCGCAAAGCCCCATAATTACGCAGGTCCGTCTCATCACCCCCCTCCTTTGTTCGCTGCTCACATCAAGTACAAGTTTCTCGGCTTTCTGTGGAATCCCATCTCTTGGACGATACAGCTCAGCGCTGTCGGTTTACTCGTTCTCTCAAGCGGACGTCACCGTCCCCCAGACTGGCCCTCCGTTCTGGGACTCGTCTTCCTACTCTGCATCAACTGCACCCTTGATGTACTCGCCGAGCGTCGTGCATTTACCGCCGTTCACGCTCTAAGTCAATCAACTGCCTTCGACGGAATGGCAGTCAGAATAAAACGAGACGGCGTGTGGTCGGAGAATCTGGAGCCCTCATACCTCGTCCCAGGCGACATAGTATCCCTCCAGTCGTGGGACGTCGTGCCGGCCAACTGTCGATTGATGACTGGTTCATTGTGGATCTCATCCTCGAAGAACAGCCAGGTCCGCAAAGAAATCGGTGCTCGACTGTCGCAGTCAGTTTACTATTCGTTTCCGATTCCATGGGCTGTGATTTACCCCAGGGTTACTTATCAGAGGCTGGGAAGTTGGGGTTAGTTCTGCACAGTGCGAGGCAGTTGTTGTCGAACGCCCCAACCGCGCTATGCCTCCTCCGCGTTCCCGAGCCAACAATTCCACCACTGGGCTACATGGATCCGTTGCCCAGATCGGGGCTTTCTGCCTTGCCCTCATCGCTATTTTTCTCTTCGTCGAGCTCGTGGCTTTGTACGGCGGGTTTCACTACAGTTACCACCGAGGGATCAATCCCATCTTCGTTCTTCTCATCGGGAGCCTTCCGATTGCGCTGCCTTCTGCAGTTAGTATTATCCTCTCGATGGGTGTGGCGGACCTGGTGCGGCGCGGGGTCCTCACTACCCGCGTCGCCGCTGTCGCGGAGCTGGCCGGAGTCACCGTTCTTTGTGTCGACCCCGATGCCTCCCTGATCAAAGCCAAGGACGAAATAACCGGTATCAAGGCCTACGGTCCCTTCAGCGAGGATGAGGTGCTCTCGATGTCCGCCTATGCACGTAGCAAGAAATCCCCGGCACCTTCCTCCTTTCGAGGCGAGATGTCTTACGGCCAGGGCCCCCTGGGGCATCCTGATATCGACATCGTCCACTGCCAACCACTCTCGATTGTGGGTGGGCCGATGCGAGTGACGTACCGCACCAAAGGGTCAACACAGTTGAAACGCGTTGCGAAGGGTATGGTGGGACACATCGCCGAGATATGTACCCGCAACTTCACCAACGCAGTGCAAGATGTGTTCGAGGCGGATCTTGAGGCATTCTCCGACCGTGGGATGGGAACGCTGGCCGTGGCGTATGAAGAGCTGGAAGGCGATGACCCATTGGCGGATGGAAATGGCTTCGAGATTGCTGGGCTCCTCGCGTTCTCGCGCCCACCTCTGGAAAATATAGCTAAAACAGTTGCCGAGCTTCTGAGGACGGGGACCGAGATGAAGATGGTTTCCCGCAATCAGCTTGCAATTTTGAAGGAAACTGGACGACTTATCGGGGTAGGCGACAAGATGTTTCCAGCACGGGTTTTCAAGGAGCACAATCTGGATGCGCTGATCTTGGAAGCTTCTGGTTTTGCCGGGTGAGCTTTTTTAAAAAAAAGCTGCTATGCGACAAGAAACCTAATACCGAAGAGAGAATGTCTCGAAAGCATTCGGAGGAGCTGTTTCGCCATCTCGAGTACATGGGCCACGTCTGCGCCATGATAGGTTCGTGCGGCGGTTACCCCTTGCCCATTTTCTTATCATCCCAGGAAAAGGAAGCTCCAAATTCCCTCTTTCCACCGCCGGTGTCAGTATCACCGTCAGTACAGATACTGTCTGGGGCGACCTGGTCGTGACGCCACCTTGCCTTCCCAAAGTCGTCGACGCCATTCGCAGTTCACGGCAGATATTCCAGAGACTTCGTGTCTGTCTGATCTATTCGTGCGCCGTCACGATCCGTTCGGCCCTCTGCTTTTCTCTGCTGGCCTTCGTATACAAAATCGACATTTCGCCCTTCACGATCCTTCTAGTCACCCTCGCAACAAATCTGGCTACCTTGAGCCTTTGCGTGGATCGCGTGGCTCCAAGCAGCAAGCCGAGTCGATGGGACGTGAAAGAGATTCTCAGCTATTCAACTGCCTACGGAGTGTATATGGCTCTGTCGACGTTGGTTCAGTCCTTTCTCTCGCCGACCTCAATTGACGTTCATTCACAGCATATTATTCGTACACGCAGCTAAAAGCGATTTCTTCCACCGCAAACTCGGCCTGATGCTCAGCTCAAACCCATCGCTCCGCAACCGCCAACTCAACACGCTAATATATTTACAGGTCGCCCAGGTCTCCCACGCGTTGCCATTCGTACTCCGCTCCCAGCGCTTCTCATCTTCCAGTCGACCATCCACCGTTGTGCTGGCTGTCTTCTGCGCTGCGCAGATTTCATCTTCCATCGTTGCTGCGTACGGAAATTGGGGATTCGCGGGAATGCACGCAGTTGGCGCTGGATGGATAGGGCTCGTTTGGGTCTGGGTACGCAGTTACCTCATACCTTCGCACCTGAATTTCCTGAATTTAACGAACGCTCTGACAGAACATTATCTGGTTCATACCGCTTGACTTTGTTAAATTTGGTGTTCGGCTTGTCCTCAATTGATCGATGGTTCGAAAAAGTGTCCCACGGTTTTGAACCACTCTGACGAACTTGAATCGGGGCCGGTACGACCTCCTACTACCATTTCATTCGTACCATAAACACGTGAGTGTCACTTGAATAATTCAAGGAGAAACAACGCAGCTCTGCGTTTTCATCGGCCGTGTCCCAGTCCACAGGGCGGCGCACCCTTCGGTATCACCCGGTCTAGCTCGACAGGAAATAATGGGATACCCCCTCTACAAATGGGCTTATGTATCTGTTATCTTTCTGCTAACCACTTGCTGTCGAATTATGCCAGTGTGGTTGAGTTTTAGGTTGAATTAGCCACCCCGCCGGATCTTCATTTTTATTAAAGGTATCCTGCCTCAACTCGCGTTCACGCGTCACCATGATACACAAACTCGCGAACTAGTGCGGACGGGTTTCACCACCACGTCCACCGCGCAGCAGTCACTCACCAAAAAAGCAACCGGGAGACACAGTATCGCATAGGGAGAAATGCTTTGCACCTAGTGCCTCCACGCGGGCGCGGAGCTACGGCTCGGAGGCCCGGCTCTGAAGGGGTTGTTGTTGTTTTGTTGTGCCACCCGAAGGAATCGAACCTCCGACATGCTGCACTCGTCAAATCGACAATGCAGCAAGTTTTACCACTGGACCATAGTGGACACAACAATTGCCGACACTGGGTGCGGGATGCTCTTAAAAATTCCACAATGAAGGGTCCGTGCGTCAGAAAAGCTTACGACTAATTGACTTTTTTTGCTCGTTCAGTGTGTGAGTCTTCGATTTCTTAGCAATTCTTCCTTGAACGAACTTCGGACCCAATTGCAACCCCAGTTGGAAGTGCTCCTTACGGGGTAACGTACGTAAAGGAGTTGCGCCGTCAATAATTGACCCGCCGGTCAACACAAACCCAAAGAAAGCTTTCAGGTTCGAACCACCACCACAGGCTCTCGACTCCCATTCTCTCGCCTGCCATGCCCGCCAGCTCCGTCTCTCTCGAAATACACTCCGGCCTGGTCGTGTTCGCCTCCGGGCCCAATTATCGCCCCTCAACCGCATTCCCATCTCTCGACGACCCGGACTCGTGGGACTGCGCCAATATCGCGCCAGAAGGGTCAACCGTTCGAAAGGCTCTCCGTGCCTGTCATGAAATCAGCGGCAAGGCCGTCTTTGAGCACGCCATTGTCGAGATGCTCATTCAATCGGGGGCGCTCATCGGGAAGCCGCAAGGATACTCCACTGTAATATCTTGTTCTACTAGGATCACCAGCTATACCTAATCTTCAATAGACCATTCAGCGCGCTGTGGCCGACGAAGGCGTGCTGCTAGCGATCTTCAAAAAGCTTGATCCCAAACTCCTCGCACACAAAGTCAACGTTGTCACTGGACTCTATCAATTCGTCGGGGCGTACATCGCGCAGGTTAAGGGCGACACGGGCAAGCTCATCAACTGGCTCAGGCCGATATTCCAGCCCGTCTTGGCCGTCGCGGATACGATTTACTTGGAATACAAACTGTATGTCCCATCGCGCGCGTAACGCGTCGAGCGGCTTCTGTTAGGCTAAAACGACGAATCTAGACCGGAACCAGAGCAAGCAGATCCTCGCACAAAGCTCAGAATTAGCGCCGGTGCGTCTGATAGATTTAACGTGCTCGTGGCCCCGCTTAAACTTTATCCGTAGCGCATCGCTTCCTGTTGAACATATGGGAGATCCAAAAGGAGGCCGAAGCGAGGGCTCTCGCCGGGGGCTCTCCTACGGTCAGCATATATTCATTATCCAAACCTCCCATCATTCAACCTATCCTTCAGACCGATTCCGATACTTCTAGTTCCTCCGGAGGCGAGGCGGAAAAGCTCGACCTCAATGGTGCCGTTGTCGCGGTACGTCCCCTTCCTCGCTGTTCTGGGCGGCTCTGACTGTCAATCCAGTTTACTTCCCAGGACGAGGGTTTCACCGTGCGTTGGCTTGCTGAGTTCTCACCTCCTGTAGCTCATTTCGCTTCAATAGATCCCCGTCATATCGCCCATCCGATTCGCCTCGAGCCCCGAATTCAACACAAACTCAATCCTGGGAGTGGACCCCGATCTTCATTCTTTCGTCAGTCCTTCCCCTCATTGCTGCGCCTCCTCCCAACCCATTCCAGTACAACTCGCCGATAAATCGCGCACGGCCCGGCGCGTTGCACCCTAATAATTGGAAACGGTCGGCATTGATCAACGGGGATCGTATGCTGGGCCAGATGTTCTCCGTAGGTTGAATGATCCCTTGATTCTGCTCGTATTCTGACTCGATCTCCAGGGCCAAGCCACCCCACAACATTTTACCTTAGATTCTCCTGTAGGCCCCCACCATCTTCGTATCTTTACCTTCGTTTAATCGGTGGGCAGATGCCCGGAATCTCTCCGCCCTCGCCCAAAACACACTCAGCGGCCGCGGAGTTGATGTCCCCACCGGTGCGTACTGGTGTTCTCATCGGCGACAGTAACACCTCAACCTACTTATCTGCATCATGATAGGCAGCCGGCTTGGATCCTCTCAACGATTTGTATTCGGACTTCTTCCCCTCCGACCTGTTACAAGCCCCATTCAAGGTAAGCTTCGCTCGTTACTGCTCCACTCGGCTCAATGGGAGTAGTATGACGAGCCAAAGGAGCGCCGTCGTACCCGAACCCAGTCAGAAGTAAGTTTCAATCTCTCTTGGCTTCGCTCCGAAATTTCTTACCCTCGCTATCAGAACTATTCACCAACCGGCGGGTCGATGGTCTCGGTGGCCAAGGGTCGGTCTCCGCTCACACCAACCAATGGCCGGTCGCCCGCTCCCGCGAAGTAAACTTGAGGCGGTGGTGCAGGCAAATTCTAGATTGATCATTGAACTCAAATTCGCGCGTTATGTATCTACCCATATAATCGAACTCGCATCCAGTATTGGCAACCATGACTCAAAATGTTCGTACCGCTGGATGACTTCTCTTAGGGCTGTTGCGTCTCACCGGAGAAAGGCAAAAAGAGACGAAACTGGTTGAAAACTGGAATTCAACATCCCCGAGATGTCCGATAGGTCTTTCCCACGCCTACGGCTGCGTCAAGGTTGAAGCTTCTCAGTGGAGTTGAAGGTTCGTCGCAGAAACAATAAAGCGAGAGGACGTACATAACTCGAAAGTGTTGGATCGAGGACAAGATAAATTTCGAACCGTGGGAGATCTCACCTGCGGCTATCACACCTTTTGGCCGAAACCAAGCCGAAACGACCGCGAGAATGGCGCGAATCGATTCGCATTGAACTTTCGAGGAAATGACTAGCAGAGAAAACGGACCAGGCCCTTGCGGTACATACAATTCTGAGCAGCATCCGGACGTTACAACTCGCGAAGAGATAGGGGGCGATTCGTTTGTCCAGGTTTAAATTCGACGTCTTTGTCGGCCGCTCAACAAAACCGGGGAAGAAAAAAGTTTTCGAGCATTGCGGTTCTAGTTCTACGATACAAGCATATTGAGACTACGAGAGGAAGCACATTAAGTCCATAAGAAAAAGGAAAGAAACGTATTTGGAACTTGCAGCTCGGCGGTCGGAAGAGGCACGATATTGAGGGTGATGACGACGACCTAAGCGGGTCCGCACTGAGGAAATCGCGTCAATAACAGGCATGACATCGAGAGGAAGAGAACGAACCAGCTGCAAGCAAAATCTTGACCATGGCGAGTTTACAATCGGTCTCGAAAAGTCGTATGGCGTCCCACACGATGATCTTCCCGAAATGCTCTCCTTCAGGCGATGATTGCTGGCACTAGCCTGCTTCTCACGTTTCCGCTGATCGCGCTTTACCACCCCGTCCATCGAGCCACCAACCGATTCTCAGCCGAGTGCTTCTCTCAAACTCCGCCGCCGGCGACGCCAGCGCCACGGGTGGTGGAGCATTTCACGCATTTCCCGTTCGAGGCTCTTGCGGTACGCTGGACCAACGAACTCGACGATGAAATAGAAGATGATAGCGGGCACGATGATAAGCTAAAAGAAAGATGAGCGTAGAACAAGGACTGAAAGTTGTGGGGCGTACCAATTTTTGAGTCCAGGTCATCGCGGCCCATGTCCCCCGAGCCGCATTAAGTGCACGACGAGAGGCATCCGATAGGTGGTAGACTTGGACCCCCTCCCAGGCCCTGTACCGCTCAATCCGATAACAAACCAGAGCCCACAGCGCCTCCCTCGCATTCGAAGAGCTGAGCGAGTCCCATATGAGGAGCATCGAGGGTGCATCAAGCAGGTGGTAGAGTTGCACGACCGAGCAAATGGCCACCAGGATGAGGGCAGCTCGAAGAAGCTTCCTGAGAGCACAGAAAGTCGCTTGCAGTGCCAGCGCGATAACGCGTACTCGCCCGTACTTTGAAATACCCCGCAAGACTGCCAAAGAATGGCGTACGATCACCATGAGAGGGAGGGAATAGATGGCGAGGAGGAAGAGGACGCCGAGATGGATGAAGAGAGGGCCTATGAGCATCTGAAGGGATGTGAGCGAGTCTCATAGTGGAGCGATGAGAATCACGTACCGCGTAGTCTATCGCGGAAAATACGAGGAACGGTCGTTGTATCCAGTTGAAGCCCAGCTGCATTTGCGGTAGACTGGGGAGAATGCCCGCGCGGTAGCCGTAGTAGTATACGACCCAAAGGAATCCCCGGAGCCAGGAAGATGCGAGGAATGGAATCGCGATGGTGGCGACCGGTATTGGTATGAAAATAAGAAAATTCGTGGCAAGGTTGATCCACGCCTTCTCCAGGGCGCTTGCCGGCCCAAGGATAATCACTACCAAGCCGGATTGCGACCAATTCACGACCCAGAGGTAACGATGAGGGTGACGCGCGACATATATACATCCACGACGGAGGGCCCGGCCGACGAGAATTGAGAGGTGGTGACCAGTTACGACGAGGATGAATCTGAAATATTGCCGCCAGTGTCGGGAGAAGTGGATCCGTCCCTGGAGTGAGATGTATTGCGCGATGAAGGAAATACTCGACATCGGCCGCTTGATCCCAAGGAGAAGAGAAGACATCTGGACGGGGGACAAGCCCTTCTCAATCCAGACAACGGTAGCGCCGCCAAAGGATGTGAGGGGGTTGGAAATCGGCCGGGGAGGCACGCTGTATCTGTATGCGAGGAAGAGGCCGAGAAGAACTATCGTGCCGAGAACAAGCAAAAGGATCCATGGCCATAGAGCACGACGACGTTTGCGTGCGTGGCTTTCTGTGTCGGCGTCTGGAGGAGGGGTAGGCGGAGGGTTCGGGTTCGGGGTGAAGGAACCGTTCTCGGGCTTGACGTCGGTATCTGAAGGAGGGGTGGGCGGAAAGAAGAAGCGCTTCGCATGCAGGATGGATCCGAGCGCGGTCATGACGATGATAGCGAAGCCCATTGCGGCAACGTAGGGGAAGGGGGCGACGGCGTTGGCCAAGACACATTTGGTAGGCTCCACGACGATCTTGAAGGTGCGCGTCGCGTCGACCTTGGGTTTGAGGTTGGAGAGGACGAGGCTGGCTGCGACCTGAACGGCGATGGAGAAAATGTGGACGAGGTCCTGGGAGGAGGACGAGAAGGGCAGCATGCTGAAAACGGAGGAGGGGATTTGGAGCATGTCGTGGTTCTGGTCAAGGTGTGAAATGGATGTC